ATCCCCATTACCCCAGTCACTGAATTAATCCACCTCATAGAGGGCCTTCCTCTCCTGCGCTGCCCCTCCACCCTCCCAAGCATGATGTCCCTCTCTAAGGACAGGTCTCTCCTCACAACATGTCCAAAGTATGTTAGACGGAGCCTCAGAATCCTTGCCTCCAAGGAGCCACCTGGTTTAACCCTTTCCAGGACAAATCTGTTTGTTTTCCTAGCAGTCCATGGTATTCTCAACACTCCTCTGCAGCACCACAGCTCAAAGGCATCAATTCTCCTTCTATCCTCCTCGGTCATTGTCTAACTCTCTGATGCATAACAAGTGATTGTGAAGACCATGGCCTGTATCAGACGCACCTTAGTCTCCAGAGACACCATTGCTCTTCAGTACTTTGGAGAGGTCCCTAACAGCAGACTTTCCCATGGCAATGAGCCTTTTAATTTCCTGGCTGATGGTGCCAAGACACTATAAAAATTAACCACAAAAACAAACAAACAAAAAATTAACCACAATTTATAGGAGTAATGACTTATAATTGCAAAGGTGTCATATGCATAAAAAGCACAAACCTGGACCACTATTAAAGTGTATCTGTTGTGTCTCTGGTGTATCTGTTAAGCAAGAAATGAGAAAGTGAGATACAAATCATTCCCTTCCTGTCTTTAGATCGAATGGGTTAACTCAGGACAAAACCGTAACTCTACACTCAAAGAGCTTCCCTGGTATTTTGATGAAATTCTGACAAGATCTGGATCAGATACCTCTGTGTGTTTGCATTTTATAGTCAAAGATTTCTGATCCTATTTTATGGATCAAAAAGATACACCCCTTGGCAAGACCCTGAGAGTGGCAGGTGCAAGGGTCCTGGTGAGTCAGAAGCCTGAGACCTGCCTCTGAAAATCTTTGGTACCAATAGAGACTCTGGGCTATCACCCTGACATGCCCTGGTTGGCACAGCCCACTGACCTGTTCCAGGAACAAGTCTCTTTTTTCCTCTGTAATTTACAGGCTTGGGTTAATAATAGTAATTCAACTTAACTGACATTCATTAAGAAGACAATGGTATTGATTTAGAGTAATTAATTCAACATCACTTAATTCCACCCCCCCAACATGTCTTGAGGCATTGCTCTCTTGTGGGGCAGCATGATGACTCAGACCTGGATCCTCATGTCCAGAAGCCTGGCAATCTGTGATCTTGTGGACATGCAAGGTTGTGTACTGACATAGCATTGAGATCAAAGGACATGTCATAAAGAATTAAGGGGGGTGGGGGAAGATAAGGCTCTTATCCTTTACAATTGTGGGTAGTTTGGTAATTTGTAGTTTATCAAATATATTTGTCTATTTTGTTTCATTATGTATAATCCAAATTAAATGAAATCCTTGACAGCGTCAAACTTTTCTCCATTTTTCATGTCATCTGTCCAGTTGTAAGGATTTTTATGTTGAGGCATAACCCATGTTAAAGGCTGTAGTTAACCTTCAGTAAATGCTCCTTCTTTGCTTTTATCAAGGAATCCTGTTATCTCTATAACACAAGTATAGATTATTTCATCTTACTTGGATTCACAATCAACAGCCAAACACATATTGTAATAGGCAAATCAGCTGTCAACAAATACACTGAAGAACTGAAGAGCAAGCACTTCTATTTTAAAGGATAAGATGCACGTGACCCAAGCCATAGTTATTTTCAATTGCTTCATATGCATGTGAAAATTAGACAATGAAAACAGAAATCTGCAGAACTGATACCTTTTGGCTTCTGTAGAAGAGTACTGACAAGCCCATATATGCCAAAAGTACACACAGGTTTTTTTTATCTTGGAAAAGTCCTGCCAGAGTGTTTTGTATGTATGTTCTTTGTAAGTATGTGCTTTGTCTCATCTACTTTGGGCATGCTGCCAAGAAAGGCTATTTCTTGGAAAGAACACCTTGCTAGGAAAGGTAGAGGGTCAATGAAACAGAGAAAGACCCTCAGCAAGATAGACAGACACAGTAACTGCAGTAGTGGGCTCAAATGAGTCAGAGATGATGAGGACAGTACAGGGATAGAAGAGAGTTTATAGCTCTGTTGTTCAGGGTCACTATGAGTTGTACTTGACTCCATGATACCTACTGGTAACTATTACTACTGTAATGTAAAAATGAGGATGTGACAATGCTTTGTAAAACTTTTAAATACTTTCACCCCAAAATCTTGAGGGATTATTAATTCATCTTAATTATTTAATTTCCTCATTCATAAATGAAGGTTTGACTCAAAAATAAAGTAGGTAGGACTGGAAACATAAGTCACTTTAATCAAAATGAGCTGTACCTCTATGGTTCTATCAGACTATCAGTAACAACAGTGATTATCCCAAAGACACAGTGAACAACTCAAACAAGAATAAACACCTTAGAGTAATAAGAATGATCTGAATGAGGGTAAAATCACAGGGCTGACACGGATTTATAAAACAGATTAAAAGCATACAACTGGACATTGAAATAGTTTGAATGAATTCACTTCCTTTATTGCAGTAACCTCTGTACAAAGCAGCAACTGCAATACTCAACGTTAAAACATTAGAAAAGCATTTATGTGATATAGTACAGTGTTATCAAAATATTACATTTTCAAACTTAGTAGATAATCATCCACCAGAGCTCAAATCTTTAAATTAGTTCCATAGTCTTTAAAAATATGTATGTCAGAAAGAATATAAAATGAATGTAAAAAGAAAACCTAGAATACAAATATGAAATATGTAACAAATAAATATTTGATTTAATTAACAGTTATTAATCAACACCATTCTTTCTATACCCATTGAATTTTTATCTATAGAAATAATGAACTGTCAAATGCCAGTGTATGATTATTTCTAAGCTTTTACCACTGATTTAAACTTAAAAATTGTTTTTAAAATAACCAAAATTCAGCAAATAAAATCAAATAGATTGATTTCAAATCTAGCTAGCATACCTAGGGATTGTTGAAATTTGTTAAAGCACTATAGCCACTTTGAAAATTTTTGACCTGGTGTCTAGTGATTAAGTGAATATAATGCTTTTTAATTTTAAGTGAAAAGCTTCTTACATTATTTCACAGACAATATTACCCTACCCCCATTATGTATATTTAGATATATTTTATATACTTTATACACACGTTCATAGAGACACATGACATTTGGTTTCTGTAGTATAGATCACAATGATATTTTCTTCAATGGGTAAAAGTTAAAAACAAAAACAAAAAAACCCAAAAACAAAACAAATATCAAGACCAAAACCCCCAGATAAACAGAAAAACCCAGTTAAGTGTCCCTGTGCACATTGCAAGATAGCAGCACTCAGCTCATGCCCTACTTATTATCCACTGAAAATTTCAAACATATTATGTTCATTGAATAATGACACTTGTCTTTACTCCCACACATGGCAAAGCCTGCAGTAAATGGAACAATGCTAAGAGTTGTAATGGAGAAAAATATTTGGGGAAAAAAAATCCCACAAAACTTAATTTTCTTAATAGTTTGGATTCAAAATTGTTATCAGATCACCATATTTTTATTTCACATTCATGCGGCAAAAAAATTGCACTGTAGATTTTTTAATATATTTCTGTCAAGATTAATGAAAACTGGTGCAACTCCTACTCTACTGAAACTTATACCTAAGAACCAAGTGAACATTATTTAAGATAAACCGTTATCCGTTTCTACCTGAATAACTGCATGAATTTTAAATATGCCCTTAAAGAAAGTGATCAACTTTGTTCTCCATGAAAACTCTGTCAATGTAATTGTGAGCTTACATTTACATTAAAAAAAAGTTACTTCTGTTCACTTTAAATTCCAAGAAAACAAGCAACATAAATTTCTTTACATATACACATATCTATTTGTGTATGCATACACATATATGCATACACACATACAGATATGTAGACATATATCCCTTGAAATGATTTTTTAGGAAATCCTTCCTTGAATAAAAAATGAAAAACTTCACATTGATAACTGTGTATAAAGCTTTTAGTAACAGTGCACGTGCACTGTCAAAATTGAACTAGTAGACTATGATGTCAAAACAGACAATTCAGAAGCACAAACTGGCAGTTTTAAAAGTATTAAGAATGGATTCAATATAAGTGTTCAGAATAATCTGCTCAAACCTGAGTATATTAAAACTAAATGTGCATGACAATTGATAAATTAAGCCTAAAAATATTGAACCAAGAAACCAGTGGTCCATTTAACCATTTGATAAAACATTAAGTGTTTTAATGATATACAAAAAGGATGGTAGGTACAATACAGTGAAATACCATGTAGTGTTTATTGAAATAGGACTATTAAATGACATTGTTTTGTCTAAATTTCTCCCAGAAAACTCTGGTAGCATTATTTAAAAGTCCTTAAGATTTAATAGGGACTAAATGAGAACACACCTCTAATAAATTAAAATGATCTTGAGGATTTCTGCTTAAAGGTTACCACATGATTTTTTTCTGCCTTTTTCAACATTGTATAAAGACATACTTGATAACTCTTCAAACTTCTCCAAATGTTCTATGAATTAAAAAGACATAAATAAGAGCCAACAAGAAAGGGGGGAAATGGTGTTTTTATGCCTTTCCCCCCAGATCTACATTTATTTATACTTAAGCAAACCTAACTTGGGGGCTACTTTTTGTTTCCCATCTTGTTTCCCTCAGTTTTCACTAAATACCCTCTTCTCCTTTAGTGTCTTAATAGTTACCTCTACAAAAGTTAATACAAAACATACAGGACTCAACACTAATTGGTCAATGGAAAAGAAGGGTAACATCTATTTTATTTTAAGGTTGGAAAATATTAAAAATAAAATTAGTTGAATGCAATGTTTGACATTCTAGAAATTTATAAAAGAGGATATATGGATGAAATTTGGTTAATTTCAGAAGGCACCTCAAGGCTAAAGGCTTTTTGTATTCTTTCATCAATCAAGAAAACAAAACACAAAAAAACCACACTTTTATTGCTATTCAAGTAGCAAAGGAAAACTTTACTCTCATGAGCTTCAGTCATCCAACAAGGAATCCTCATTCATTAAGACTGATACGGAATTAACAAAACTGAAGTCTCCATAAACATATCAATGGAGCAACTTTCTGTGTGCTTTCAAATCAATGTAATAGTGAAAGAAAAGTCACAGTTCGCCATTGATGTTAATGTCATTGAAGATTTCCGTTTCAACTAGGCACTAGGCTGTCCACGTACAAAGAACATTTACGAATAGAAGGTAAGGACACTCTGATGATTTCCACGAACTAGGAGGATTGGTGGTAGGTCCTTGGACAGAGCTTCTAACCAGGCCATGTAGAGAGCACTAGACACAGCACCTTTTCTTGCAACAGGGAGACTCCTGGTATTGAAAAGGAAAAATAGAACAAAAAAGGATTTTAAGTTAAGTCATAAAAATAATAAACCAAAAACTAAATCTAACACTGCAGGGTGAATTCTCAGTGATGGTGAAGGTTAAGGGCAGAGGAGAGCTGTCCCAGGGGGTTTTGAAGGCTGTAACCCTCATGGAAAGGAGTGTTGCATCTGCATCCCAAGGAATGGACTTTTCAGATAGCAGCTAAAAGCTTTAACCACTGAATCACTAGGGCTCAAATCATGATACCAACTAAAATTGACTACAGTACTGAAAATGTCTGAGTTCAGAGAAGTTCTGCATATAGTAAAGCATGAATAGCTTCACACTATTATTACTTATAATCAACAAAATGTAGCACTTTAGCTGTTGTTATGTGCTGCTGACTCAAGCACAACTCATAGTGACCCTATGCACAAAGCTCAGAAACCTCCCTATCTTGAGCCACCCTCACTCACTCTGTTACGCCTATCTCCATTAACACAGTTGCTGTGTCAACCCATCTCACACAGGGTCTTCCTTCCTGCGCTGACCCTCCACCCTTCTAAGAATGATGTCCTTCTCCAAGGACTGGTCCCTTCTGGCAAATTTAGCATATAACATTATACCTCAAATTTCTCTTTTCTCAATAAGGTAATAATTCTTTCAGAGAAATGGATGCTTCTATATGAATTTATAAAATGGAATACATATATTGATAGGTTTTAATTAAAATACACTACTTCTATATATTAATTTTCCTTTCTCTTATCCCTTGTGCTTTAATCTCTATTGATACGGTGACGGTGGTAGTGATCAGATCCTCAGTAGAGTTATTCTCTCTCACTACTTCCGTATTTCCATTTCTCTGATTACAAATACTTGGTCATCATTAGCAAAATCTGAAACTTTCAGCTATTAAATATTCTTCACGAAACTGTTCTTTGGTGTTACAGTTACTTCATCATTTGGCATGTTTTCAGAAGCTTCAAGTGTTCTTATCTATTTTTTTTAAAAAACTTAAGTTCCTAATAAAATTAATGTTCAAGAATTAGCTAGCTAACTTGGTTTAGCAAAGGAAAACTAAGTAGGCACTAGCCTCTGTGTAATTAAGAGCATCTGCATAGAAAGCCTGTGAGTGGGAACCTAGGGGATGGAGAGATGGACAAACAGCTTTTAAATGTAATTATTTTGGGAGGAAGCTGTGTCTCTTTGGAACCCTCAAACCCTAGAGTGCCTCAAGTTTTCTCTTGGAAGCCTCACACTGCAGAGAGGCATAATGGCTAAAAAAGAGAAAAGCTATAGCATTTTGAAAAAGTATGAAGAAAGAATAAAAAAGAGGAAGTATTTTCAAATAATCTATCATGAATTTAAAAAACTCCAAAACTATTTATTAGATTCAAACACATTTAAGGTTGAGGATTTTGATTTATCCAATGAATTTTAAATTTAACCTTCACAACTAGTAAGTCATTTTAGGTTTTATATAGATAGAGACATAATGTACAAATCAGTCAAAATAGAAATGAATAGATAAGGAAGTATTTTTTCTTTAAAACAGATATTACTTACATGACAATAATATTTGCTGTGCTAGAATGCTCCTTTAATAATTCATTTAACCTGATCTGCCTATATGTCTGAAATGAAAGAAATAAGACAAAGTCATTCCTAGGATCATTTAAAAATGAAATCTTAATCATGTCTCATAATTGTACATTAAGATGAAAAAAGTGTTAAAAAGTATTTTACATTGTTCACACATGGATTCAATTTCATGTAGATTTAATTTTCTACAACTGCTTTCTTTCATATTTAACTGAAGCTTGTGTTAATCGTTCAGTTTTAAATATGCATCAAAAAATTGCATGCTATATTAATGAAAACAGAAGACAAAGAATACCTTGGTCTTATAAAGTTCAAGCTCATTATCTGTTATTAACCATGGCTCATCTTCTTTCATTTTATCTGCAATATCTTGCTCTTTATCATCTTCATGAAGTCTGTATGGCTCAATCATTTCATCAAAAGCTACAATACTTGAAAATGAAAGAAAATTGTCAATTAGTTATACTTTACATAAAAAGAGCTTCAACACTAAATTATACTTTGAAAAGTTAGTGCTTCTCATTTGTTATGCTTTGACAATTACTTTGGCAATTTATTTGGAAAAACTGTAATCTCTGGTATGGAAAATTGATTAGAAATTTAGAACAACAACCATAACAACAGAGTTGCAGTTTTACACACGGCACCTGGTTTCCCTCTTATCTTACCTACTCCTATCTCTAGCCCCCTGAACTAAAATGATTTTTAATTATAGTACACAAAATGATGATCTTGAGCAATAAGTTAAATCCCATTATGCCTTTATCCAAATGAATTAAAAAGTAGTAAAAAAAAATTCACGAACACTTTAAGGGGAAGAAAGAACTGATAGGCAAAATTCACTAAGTAGAAAAAATAATTTTTATTTTCAAAGACATTTATAGTCTATAGGAATAATAAAAAGTACATGCATGGCATTCTAGTATCCTGTTCATAATTTTCAATCTAGTTCAAATCTCTTTTTTATAATAATTTCTTAACACTTTTTATTTGTTTAAATCATTATAAAACTTCACTCATTTACTTAGCATTTATCGGAGAAAAAAAAACAACATCTAATAAAATAAGCATACATATTAGAATAGCAATCCGTTTAAGCATTTTGGGGTAAATTATTCCAAAGCATGTGTTTTAGTGAAGAAAATTCTATTAGGCAAATTTTTTTTTTGTGTGTGTGTGTGTGTGTTCTGTCAAATCAGATCTGACTGGTACAGGAGGAAATTGTCCCTCCTTCCCCGGCAGAGCAGCTGGTGGATTCAAACTGTGTGCCTCTGGGATTGTAATTGCAGTTCCTTGCCACTAGGCCACCAGAGCTCCCCTTAGGCAAATTCTTAAGATTCCCTTTTAATACTATAACAAAATAGTGGAAATAAATAAGTAGGTGGTGTAGAGTTAATAAATGTGGAGGAGGTCCTGCATCTTCAAACTGATCAAATGCTCCCAGTTAAAAGATTTGTGGTTCAATCTTGAGGTACCCAGGATGGCAGGCTTGGTGATTTGTCTCTCAAAGGTCAGACTTCAATCCCCTACGGAGCAGGCAATGATTCAGAACTGACTTAAAGGTAACATGCTGGGAGGGACACCACACTTGCCCAGGGTCAGCAAAAAAGAAAACCCTAAATGAGATGCACTGGAGCAGTAGATAAAACAACGGGCTCAAATACAGCAGAGCTGTGAGGACGGAACACGAACAGGCAGGGTTTCATTCTGGTGTTGAGTTGTTATGAGTTGGAACTGACTCCACCGCATCCAACACCAACAAGGAATGGAGCAAGGCCAATGAAAACCTGGATGGCCATGTGAGCTTTCTAGAGTATGAAGAGTTTTAAAGATCAAGTGTGTGTAATGTTGTTGTTGTTGTTATGTGCCGCCGAGTCGCTTACAACTCATAGCGACCCTATGTACAACAGCCCTAAACTCC